GGCGGTGATTTCTCACTTTCTGTCTCTCTGTCTCTCTCTGTCTTTCTGGCAAGCACATGTGCCATATAGCAAAAACCTTTCCAAAAAATTAAAATAATAATAATAAAAAAACAACACTCAGAATAAGTATTTTCTTTTTTTTTTTCTTTATAGAAGTAATCATCATGAGGCAATAGAGAACATTCCACAAGCAAACCTGAGCGTGGGTAATGAGGGGCTCGGGAGCACTGAATTTCCTTGAGAAAGGTGGTGGCATTTCAAGTCTTATTCAGAGAGTCAACTGCACTTCTCCTCTAGCCCTGCAGGGATTTTAATTGTTGTCGCCCAGCTCAATTGCAGAAATGTTGATATAAGGTGCCTGTCATTTTAATATGATACACAGTGCTACTGCAAAGGAGACTGACCCAGCGCCTCAGTTAGGTTTAGCTGAATCATCAGAATGGCTTTGAATGCTTGTCTTACTCCCCAGCACTTCTTGCTCTGCACTTCCCTCACACCTTGTCTGAGCCTGCCGTGGTACTTACCTGCAGAGGGGGCCAGGCACAGAACTAAGCCAGGGTGGTTCCTATGCTCACCACGCAGGTGGATGAATCACACCTGTCACCGTCAGCCACACAGGGCTGCGTCTAATTCTCCCCACACATCTCCGGCCTCCCTTCATTTATCAGGCCATCAGAAATATTTCTAACTAAATGAGCAAACATATTCCTTTCCTATAGGTGAACTCCAAGCTGCCTCCAAGCTCCAATTCTGCAGTCTTTATTAAGGTAATGCTGTTTTATCATTCCCCCATAATAACATCATGACCTTGACAGACTATCCCAGAATACTTCGATCATCCTGCACTAACCCACGCTAGTAGGTCAACGTGTTTCTGTGGCAGATAGATTATTTTATTTAGAAAAGGAAGAAAAACTCATGTAACATATATTTTCTCCAAAGACTGGAGGAGAACCTAACAAAAACTGTTGACTTAGAGTACTGGCATAAAAAGTGTTTTTTTGTTTTTATTTTTTTTTAATTTCTAGTTTTCATTGAATGTTAAAACAATTTTATAACAAAACATAGTAATCACACTGAAATAGCTTCTGGGTAATTTATATTTACCTTTACAATGTGATTACAATGACATACCTAGATACTCCCAAAATAGAACAAAAAGTGAAAAAACATTTATGCATTTAGTCTCTATAAAAGAGTAATGAATACATTTTTTGCTTAGAAGCTGTCATAGAGGCTGTAATGCCCTGAAATTATACATTAAGACCAAATTAAAAACCTGCCATAAAGGCAAGCTCTAGAGATCTGGGAATTGTGCACAAAAACAGTGTAGCATTTTGGTTAAGAACAAATTTTGGGGGGCTGCCCTGTGGCCTGGTGGCTAAAGGAGTCAGATGCCATATAGCCAACCATGAGGTTTGTGTACCGGCTCTGGGGGCTTAAAGAATACACTGGGCATGAATGCATGTGTATGTGCCCAAAATCTCAGTGGGATAAAGTGGAGAAGAGATTGTGATATGGCCATACCCACTGGGGGGCGCTTTCTTACCCTCTTCCTCTCCCTCTCGGTCTCTCTCTCTCTCTTTCTCTCTCTTTGGGGAGTGTAAGCACACATCCCCTGGCAAAATTAAAAAACAAAACAAAAAAATCAAACACACTGGCACCAGCCTGCCGAGATACAAATGGTCATATGCTTGGGAAAAGCTCTCTCTGTAGCACTTCGGCTTTCATCCTATGAAACTGCAGGACGCGCAGAGATATGTTCGAAATGTTTTGTCTAGTCTGGTGCACAAAAGAAAATAAAAGATTTCTTCCATAATGGCCATCAACAAGAATGTCTGACTGTAAGTCACCCTTCTTAAGCTTGGGCTGAGTGGCAAGAGCAAACGGAGGGGCACCGTTTGTGGCACACCTTTGAGGGAGAGAGCTAGAAGAATGTGGGCTCCAGGCAAGGTGTCAGAAAAAGAGCTTCACCACGGAGTCTCTCCTTCAGTCCTGACGGCAAAAGGCAAGGCAGCAATAATTGATGCTAGAGATTATAATACCATCTACTTCTTGACTACTTTTGGTTCTGAAAAATCAGAGAGGGGGACCAGCTGTTAGTGTAATGGCTATGTCGCTGGACTCCCATGTAGTCGACTGCAGTTCACGTCCTGGACCTAGTGGTTTAAACTCATGCCGGGCACGTGTGTGTGCGTGCCCAAGATCCCGAGAGGAGAATAGAGGAGAAGGGATTGCAGCATGGCCATCCCTCCTGGGGGATGATTTCTCGCTTTCTGCCTCTCTGTCTCTCGGTCTGTCTGGCGAGTGCACGCACTCTATAGCAAAAACGTCTTCCAAATAAATAAATAAATAAATAAAAAATCAGAGGGGTACTTTCTCTCCTTTTGCAATGGTAATTACCTTAACCCAGGGGCAGCACTTATGGGAAAATGAAGACTATGTCT